AATCAATCGATCCTTTTTTGAGGGGATCGATCTTATCCATGGCTAGCTGGTTGCATCCTATTATGCACTCTATTAACTAATTTGATCATATCTTGAGTTATACAAATTCAAATCACAAACCGTTTAAAGATTTAGAAACTAGACTTAATGAGCTTTCTATCTATAAAATTAATTACCTAATTCATTGTGTATGAATTATAGTGAATTTTTAAATCTACCCCTTATGTAGTTTTTAGATAACTACAAAGTGTCTAGTAAAAATTCAAAATCTTTTCCTAAAAAAATTTGAATTTTGATTTTATTTGATACGTTAGAAAGTAGACTCAAAGAGCTTTCCAATCATATAAAATTTAAATATTAAAACTTTGTGAATTAATATAGAAAAATAAAACAAGTTCAATATTGAAAAACTTTGTTCTTGTAAAACAACTTTCTTAAGTTAATATATTTCTCAAAACCGATATTATCAAAATTGTATTAAGTCCAAAATTAATAAGTTCACTTTAAAAACAACAATTAGGCTTTCATTTAAGCTCAAATAAATAATTTTTAAAGATAGATTTGGTTTGAGAAATATGAAAACAAAGAAAGGTTTGTTTATACTTTGAAAAACATATTATTTATTTAGTACCAAAATATAAAACTTAAGAGCATGTACTAAATAAATCTTTTTCAAAATCTTGATCAAGCTTATTTAACTTAATGTTTTATCATTTCAAAATAAGGATCAATTCAAGGCTAACAAGGTTGTAGGTGCCTTATGGAGAAGAACTGAACCTTTATAAATCATTATATTTGATTTCTTTATCTTTATCTCTTTACTTTGATCATTGTTTATATTTACTTTAAGTTCATTAATTTATTGTTATTTGTGTCATATTTTGATATTGCTTTTAGTCTTTCATTCAATTATATTGAAATGATTATTTGGAAAGAATTTTATGAGATCCAATTCACTTCAGTCTTGGATCACCATCTCACCTTAAAAGCTAACAATTGGTGTTATAGCTTTGGTCTCTTTTTATACATTTAACCACTTTGAGTAAAGATCCTATAGTTCAATTTAGGTTCCAAGATGTTGAGAATATCTTCAAAGCTCCCATAATCGAAAAATTTAAGTTTTGTCAATGGAGAATGAAAATGAAAGTATTCATAATGGCCTAAAATTTTGGAGCATAGTTAGTAATGGAAAAAGGGCTTGGAATTCCTTAAAATGATGCAAACTAGACTAGGCAAATAATGAATGATGTAAAGGCTAAATGCTTACTCTATGGAGCTTTTGACTCTTATAACTTCAACTTGGTCTCAAATTGCTCCACTTCAAATGAGATATGGAGGAACTTGGATGAGCTATATAAAAGATAAATTTTCAACAATATGCATCATATCTCATGACTATTGAAGAATCGGAGATAACTTCTAATTCTTGTGATTCAAACTTTTATACTTTTGATGAGTTATAAGATGGTTATAATGTGTTAGTAATTGAGTTTGAAAAATGTACTTAAAATATAACAAAATAATTTCAAAGTTGAATGTAGAGAATGAGTTTTTAATTAATGCAAAAAAATATCTTGGAAAAAGAAAATGAAAAGGTGAAAATAGATTTTGAAACCTTTCAAAATAGAAATCAATTTTTAGAAAAAGAAAATGTTGATTTGAAAAAGAAATTTGATGAATTGATAAATGAAAAATAAAATATTTTCAAGACTTGTTTAAGTGCTAAAATAACAAAATGCAATTTTTGTAATTTTCATGGTCATACTACACGTATTTGTCTTATAAAGGTAAAGTTTCATTTAGAATTAGACAAGTCCATAAGGAACTAGAACTTGGTCACTAATGTTTAAGGACTCAAAGCAATTTGGGTACCAAAAATCAAATGAAAAATGTCTTTTGTAAGTGTGCTAGAGGAAATAGCTACAATGTGATTTTGAAGAATGGAACTTTAGACACACAATGGAGATTGATAACCTCTAAGCCAAATTTTTTTATTTAAAGTGAATTTGAAATTGGTTGCCTATCATTGATTGAATATTGAAGTGCATAATTGCTATATGCTTTATTGATATATCTTGATTAGTTCTCAATTATTTTGAAAAAAATATATGCCCCCATATGCTATATTGATTATGCAAATTTGGATGAAAGTAGTTTACATGTTAGAAATTGCATGATTTTGAGAAATATGTGAGCTTGATTAAGTATGCATTTATTTTTGCTATTAAATGCATGATTGTGATGCTTGTTGAAAGTGTGTTTGATGCTTATTTGCTTGAGATATATTTATATGAGCTTGATTGAATATGCATTTATTTTTGCTATTAAATGCATGATTGTGATGCTTGTTGAAAGTGTGTTTAATGCTTATTTGCTTGAGATATATTTTAGGAGAATTCATGAATGCTCTTGATAATGGGATTGTGTGAATGATCTTGACATATTCTCATGGCTGGTAAAATTGATTCTTGAGATATATATTTCTTTAAATTTGAGAACTTGTTCTTAACTATGATTGTGTATATGAATGTTGGATATTGATGATATCAGGCTTTGTGAAATTATTATTGGTGCTTGGTGTGTTTGATTTATGTGCTTAATTGTCTCATATTTATGCACAAACTTAGGGGAAGCATACAAAGCTTAATGATTTTAAAATTTTTTGCTTTGAAAATGATTTTTGCTAGAGTCAAACTTTAAACTATGAAATTTTGTTGTAGCGAGTTTTTAAGTGCAAAATGAATTTGAAAACCTTGCGTTAAATGTTTTAATTTTGCTCAAACAAAGAAACTTGATTAACTTGCAATGGTTTCAATTTTGGTTTCAATTTTTTATTGTGTTAAATGCAAGTTATAAAGGATTTTGAAACTTTAAAGATCAAATCTTGTTTTTGAACATATATGGACATAAAAACCATTTGGATAATTTCAAATTATGATATAAAACTTTTCTAAATGATTTAAAGAGCTAAAATATATTTTTAACATTTTTGCTCATCGTAGTACCCTTTTTCAAGGAAATATGAGGTTTAAAAATTAATTTTTGGATTTTCTTGTTTCTAAGGCCTAATCAGCACTTGAACAATTTTGTTTTGTTATTTGAAATTTGTTGAAATGATTCAAGTTAGTTAAAAATGAGCATGACTGGTTTTGTGATTTATCAAGGTATTTTTCTAAGCAAAAATGAGTTTTAAATTATCAAAAATCAAAATCCTACACTTATTAAACTTTGAATGGATTATCCTATGGTGTTTTACATAAATATATATGTTTGAATGATATTAGCATGATGAATATATATTTTGTATGATATATATGATTTGTTTTTGTTGAAAATGATTATATGACTATGTTGATTAAAATTGCTTAATTTGCTTATAATGCTTGAATCTTGTGAAATATTTTTTAAAACTTGATTGTTTTATTCTCAATTCTTTTAACTCTTGATTTGTGATTCACGAATTAATGAACTTTATGTACTTAAATGGAATATATTAATTCTTGGTTCATCCTAGTCTTGGTCAAGATATATGCTTGTATGACCATTAGTTCAATTTGACCTTAATATTTATGGTTTGAAATGTAAATTATTTTTTGTCTTGATTTTGTAAAATATTTTTGAAACTTGATTGTTTTGTGCTTAATTGATTTATTAAATTTTGTCAAATACTTTTCAAGTATGCTTGAATTTGTATTCAATTGATATATCTCTTGATTTTTTATTTTAATGCCTGATGAACTACTTGATCATGAATGATATATGTTATTGGTTTATCTATTGTTTTTGTCAGGTGCATGCCTAGACGAATATAATTTATCTCGATTTGACATGATTGAAATTTGACTTGAGGAAATGACTTTCTTATAATGCTTATGTTTATCTTAAGTCATTGTTAATTTTGACCTATGATTTGTGTAGACATATTTATACTTTTGTGCTAAAATTTTCTTGAATATATTTTTGATGATAAATATGTCTTCCTTGAGTTTTTTTAATTTTACATGGCCTAAAATTGATTTTGAAATATTCTTTGGTGAATTCTTGAATACATGTGAATATTGAATGTCTTCTTTGTGATCATTATTTACACAAGTTGATTTTTGCACATTATTTAATAACTTTTGCTTTAGTGTCAATATTGAGATATTTGATGTTTGACATGATACATAACTTCTAGCTTTAAGTGTATATCTCCTTTGCAATTGAAAAATTGAGCTTAATGATGAAATTTTCTTTTTCCTATTATGATTTAGAATATGAAATTCATTTTCTAACAATTGGTATATTTTATCAATTGATATTCTTGATACTACTAATGAATATTTATTGTCAAGAATTTTTTTAAGTCTGTAAGAAAACTTGAAATGAGCATGAATGGATCAACATTCATTTTAGAATTTCAAGTATAGCAAGCAAAATATCTTCATTAATCAAGCTCAAGTATCTTAAAGATTTGCTCAAAATATTTGGAATGGAGAACTCAAAGCCAAATGAGTACAACAATAAATCTTGACAAAGATGGAGGTAATTGTATTAAATCTATGCTATGTGACTATAAATGCTTGTTTGATGTGTGCAAAATAAGATTTTGTGGTTGAATATGTGAACACATTGCACAAATTAGTCACCAAGCGACTTGATAGAATTTGTTTTAACTTTGTTAAATGCTAGGATTGATTAGTTCATTTTGATTAATATTCATACTTAGTTATTATTGCTTTGATTAATAGTTTTTATTGCATGAATATTTGTTTGAATCTTTGAACATGGCTATGAGTTGAATATATTAGTTTCTTAAATTTTAATTGTTTTGACTTATAGATTGTGAGCTTATAATTTAAAATTTTATACATGTTCATTGATCGTTGAGATAGCATGTACCATATTGTGCCTAAATGCTTGCATATCTTTTTGAATTAGGTATATTGTTATATATAATATAAAATGTTTTTACATATACTTGTATGACTTTGATTGAAATATATGTTTGAATACTTGCATATGTTGGATTAAGTACATTGCTATGCATTGAAATATATTTGAATAATTATGCTTTTATTATTTCTTTGCTATAGTATATGTGTTCATCATGTTAGGAAACATACTTGCATAATTCTTTGTTATGACATGATGATGATTTGAACCTTATTACTCATTAGTATTTATGCTTTATTGCATATGTATGAGCTTATGATTCTTGTTTGGATAGGATATACTTATGAAAGATATGTTTATTATTTTAGATGTATTGATTGAATTCTTCATATGCATGAAACATTTGTGATATTTGAAAGTTGGATAAAATTACTAATGAATTTTTAATATATATTGAGGTCATGAGAACCTAATATTTTGATGATTTCATAATTGTTACAAGCATGACAATATATGCACTTAGCACTAGTACTAAAAGAATATTAAGGAGAATAAGGGTGATAGCAATCTCAAATAATGATAAAAGAAAACTAAATTAATTCAAGTGTAGAAGCCTTATGTACTAATTAGCCAAAGGTCTCCCTCCTCAGGATTGTCATATATTGCATAGCCAAATGCTGAAAGCTGACCTGCCATATATTCACCGTCACTCTGACAAGAAGTCAAAATATCAGAAAAAGCTAATAGCAAAAATCAAATTGAAATTTACATTTAGAACAACAAATGAACATGAATGAGATGGATTATGCCTTTATTTTTGTATCACGAACGGAATGTCAAAGCTCAATATAAGATCAGGTTTAACATGTAATCAATCACCATTAATATCTCCAAAAAAATTTCAAATTAGTAGATAAAATGATAAATCACAAAAATCTTTTTTTTTTCTTTTGTTAGGTAATAAGGTTTTCTTATCTTCAATGACTTCTGTTTTTGGTGCTCCTCAACATGACAACATCAGTGACTTGTAATACATCAATTCCCTTGATGAAAATTCAAACGCCAAACCAACCAAGATAGTCTAAATCTCAAGGCAATCACATGAAAATTCAAAGGTTTGAAAATTAAAATGACAGGAATAATATAGCTGCAGTGATGATTAGTAATTGCAAATTAAAAAATTAAGTTTCATTAGACATAAAGATCAAGGCATGGTTACTACTATTTCAAGCATTTAGGATCCGTATATTTCAATCAAATCTTCTGAATAAGCATGTAAAACACAAAATCTTGATAAATCAAAGTATTTGGGTCTTCTTTTTAACCTCAACACTACCCATTGAGCTGATTATCAAACTAAACATTTTATTAAAAAAAAAAAAAAAAAGAGCACTTGCCTGGTTATGTGAGCACCCGAAGGTCTTAATATAAATAGTCTGAAAAAAAGAATTAAAAGGAAAAAGGAAAAAAAATTGCTGGGTTTAGTTCTTCAGGGATTTACCCCTACAGCATTCAAAGGTAACCTCATCACAAGAGGAGCTCCACCGCTGCCAACGAACAAATCCTCTGTCTTCCATTTACTTTGTTCGTTTCTTTCGACATCAGGGCTCCAACAAACAGAAAAGCAAACCAGCCCATGTTTCTCTGGCAAACTTAACTGATTTCTTTTCGCTTCCAAAATTAACAAGAAGAGAAACAACCTGCTGGGCCTTCCACGTTTCGTCACAGTGAACTGAAAGCTCAAATCAGCCCATGTATTCTGCCCCAAACTAAGGGTAATCTTTTTTTTAAAAAATAGGCTAAGGATAAAAATATTGGCATTATAATTAAAATATTATTTAAATTTTAAATATTTTATTTCAATCATTGAACCCTTAATTTTTTATTTTGATTCAATTAAATTTTTAATTAGATAAAATTTAGTCACTTAATAAAATTGAATCAATTAATCTCTCACTACAGTTAATTAAATTCTTAGAAAGATTTTAGAAAGAAAAGAATTAAAAAATAAAAGAAAAAAATTTATTTTATTTAATTTATATATATTAATTATGTCACATGAAAAAAATTTTATTTTATTTTATTGATATTATATGAAATTTTATCTTAGTTGGTAAAAACTTAATTTGTTAACTTTTCATCTAAATAAAAACTTAATTTGATATAAGTAAATATTAAAAGGGATGATTGATTGCAACAAATAAATATTAGAGAATTTAATTAATTGCAATAAAAAATAAAAAAATTAGATGATTTTTTAATTTAGTTCAGAAGCCTTTTATACTTTTTAGCCTAAAAAATAATAGAGAAAAAAAATATTTGACACGAACTTATTGGCCTACAATTCTATATATTATAAATTTATAATTATTAAGTTATAATAAAAATTATATAAAGGTCAATAACATATAAATATGAGCACAATTTTAAATTATAATTAGTTAATTGGAATACAATAATTATAAATTATATGCTTTTATCTTATTTTGCATGTAAAATTTAAAAATTAAAAATTTTATATAATAATAATTTAATTATTCAATTCTCATTTTCATTCTTGACAAGAAAAACACATTTTCAGTAAATAAGAAAAGAAACAACTCAATCATGGGCACTAACGTTGCATTTTGTTGGGGTATGTTTTAGTAAATTCTAATTACATTTTTTAAACATTTTTATTTGATAAATAAAAAAGTTTAAAATTATATTTAATTGTTTTAACCTTAGAATTCAAAATTTATGTTAACATTTTTTTATGAAGTTATTAGTAAAATTATGACAGTGAGAAGTTTCAATAATCCAGTATTATATTTTATATAAAAAATCAAATGATTAAATCAAACAAAAAAAAAATTGACCAACGAGTATTCTTTACATGAAACAACTTTACATGTTAATGTAAATTTCGATTAATATGCACTTTCAATAGTTTCAATTATTTATGCAGCATAAAATTCTATTTTTATACATACAATTATTATTCAAAATTAAATAAAAAAAAAAACTGGTTTGCAAATGTGATTACAAATATTATTACTCAACTCCTTGGCCTAAGAGCTAGAAAGCTCTTAAAAAATATGTTGAAAACTAAGATCTCCCCTCTGTTCTTATAGATTATGCTTCTTATGTAAATATATATATATATATATATTATTTCATAAAAATATTATAATTCTAGCTTAAGTGGACAAAGAGGCTAAAAAAAAAAATTGAAAAAAATGGAACTTAGATCCAGAATCTCAATGCTCACTTCAAGTTTTATTATACTTGATTCCATTTTCAATTCCAAATCATAAAAATATTTCTTCGTGCGGCTTATAGTATAAAAACTAAAAATATTTGAATCAAATCATATTTTAGTTTTTATTACCCTTTTTATTATTTTTTTTATAAAATTAAAAGAAATTTAAGTAAAATTTTTAAAAATATTGTTTAACAAAAAATTTTTAAAATTTTAAATATCGATGAACCGAATCAATTTGATCATATAAACATTTTGAATTTTGAATAATCAAAATAATTTTGATTAATCATTTTTTTTAAATGAAGCCAAACTAAACTATTATCGACAGTACCATATCAAATAAAGGAAATCCTGGTCCCTAACAATTGTTTAAAACTTATTTAGAGTCATTCTATATAATTCATACTTTAATTTTGTAATCCGTTTAATATTTGCTCAGTTTGGGATTTGCATAATTGAATAATTACTAAAAAAATTGTTAACTATTTTTAACTCAGTGCTTATTATAATCAAGTTTTATTAAAAATTTTTATTGTTTGACCTGTTATCCCTATGCAGGGATGGATCAGAATTTATACTGGATGGAGTATATTATTAAGTAATATTTATTTACACTATTTTATTTAGAATTGTTATAATTTAAAATAAACTTCATTAATGCATAATCTCAAATGCTTCTAGAAATATAAAATAATATTTATATAAAAATTAAAAAATATAAAAAATCATTTTATACAAAAACTCTAGAATAATTTTTTAGACATGTTTTCTTATATAGTTTTAGAAACAAATTTTATCCAAAGTTCAACGAAACATTATACTAGTTCATTTTTGGGATGTTATAATTAAGCAAATTTAATCTACAAGCACTAATAAAATATGTCACATAACTTTAAAAAATAAAAAATCCATATATTCATAAAATATTAAATTTGTATATCAAGCTGTCAAAATTAATTTAAATCTACGAAGTTAAAAAAAAAAAAAAAGGTATCAAATAAGGATTACTTGATCAAACTAACATGGAAAATGTCAAAAAGGATATATTTAAAAATTTTTTTTTTAACAAAGATCTTATTTCGATACTTACACTAAATGAATTTACATTTCCTTTTGGATAAGTTTGTTTATTTATTTTCCTTTTACTGAGTTGTTTGATTCCTAACAAATTGTTTTCTTTTTCATTATAATTTTCCTTCTTTATAGAATCTTTTTTAATTTTTTGAAAAAATAATTGGAGTTAATTTTAACTAATGTCAAAAGAAGTTACTATATTAACTACCAATAATAATTGAATTACTATTGGATTCATTCATAATGTAAAATTTTAAGTAGACAAATGAAATTAGTTGAGTGGCACATATCTCATTTTTTTAATTGATTTTTTTTTAAAATATACCGTAAAAATATATATTACTCAACTAATCTTATTTGTGTATGTATAATTAAAACTTCACATTGACAGAATACAAAGGAAGCATATCACTTATAATTATTATTGTGTAATTAATCAATTATAATTTAGCATTGTGTAAAATCCATTAAAAAATTATATAAAGCTTAAACTTTTAAGTGATGAATTTTATATAATTTTTAATTGTAATTAGATAATTATAATATTATAGTAAAAAATTATAAATAATATATATCATGTATCAAATACTAACTCATAATATTTTTATATTTACATTGTTAATTATTACTTTATTCAATTATCCTTTTAATTTTGTTAATATAGTCATGTGCATTTTAATATTATTTTGGGAACCTATAGTTAGATGCCTTTTTGTAATTTAATGGAGAAAAAAAATTGGATTTTTTAATTATTATTTTTTTTAGATTTTAATAAGGATAAAATATAAAAATAATTAAAATTTAAGTTTCTTACAAATGATAATATTTAATTTTCCAGATTCTAGTGGGCCAGCTATCTCCTGTCCACCTTGAATCTGTTCCTGTCCTTACGTTTTATTATTAGATACATCTATGTAATATTTAAGTGTAGTTATAAAATCATATACATCTCTTTTGCAGAAACGTAATTAAAATTAATTTATTTTTAAACTTAAACAGAATATCAAACAATTTTATAATCTATAATTAGTATTTAAAATTTAACCTTTATATTTTTATTATTGGGTTTTTCTTTTTTTTTTTTAAGTTTATCAAAGGGCTGGCATCTAAAATAAAGTTATTGCTCACATTTTGCTAACAAGGAAATCCCGGTTGGAATAAGTAAGAAAATCTCCATTTAGATGCCAGCAATTACCTTCCAATTCTAGGCAAAATGCCTGTGTAAGACTTCCAAATAAGATTAAAAGTGTTAAATTTTTCTTAAAATTACCGCTTTGGATTTCTGACTTTTTTTAGAGAATTTTCTGACTCTTTTAAGACAACTTAGATTTTAATATTTCAATCATGCAGATAAAGTAATAATTAATCAACTTTCACTTACCTGAAATGGATATAATGAATAATTACAAATAAAAAGTATTTGTATTTGTCTTTTTTTTTTTTTTTTTACCTCTTTTGCTCTTTTCATGATATATAAATTTAGTTTCTACTTCAATATTCAAAAAAATTCTCCTGGCCGAATGTATATGTTCTAAACTATCAAAATACTTCTGACGAGTGATAGGAAGAACAATATCATGGATGCCGCGATGACCTTCTCTGGGTGTACCAAAGAAGACAAATGTTCAGGTGATTCTTTTTCTCTATTTTCATTTTATTTTTCTTGAAATCTTTTGTAATTTGCAAATTTTAGCATTTAGATTAACCAAATCCTATATTAAATCTATTGATTACTTCAAGATATATAAATGTCATTTTCTTGGTGGTTTATGTTTGTTTCTCAATCCAATTTCAAAATGGGATTGCTAGTGAAAGTGAAAGCAAAGATACAATTTTTGATGTGGAACCAAACAAAAATGGTTTGTACAAAAACCATCAAAGATGTCACATATATAAGGGGAAGGCAAAACTATTTGAATAAAATTCATTTTTTTTTAATTTCTCCTTTCTTTTTTTACCTTTCAAATTCAGTTCATTTACTTGGTTTTAATTTCTTTATTATTAATCTCACCAAAATTGTACAAAAAAAATGTTGGTTGGAATATGATGTTTCAGTGTCTAACTATGGTGTAGCATGAAGTTGATATATATATATATATATATATATTTATATATATTTATTGTTAGCTTGTAATAGACAAATGTACACATTCATGCAAGCACTATTTATTATGTTTTATAAACGTTTAGGAGGTATTGTAGTGTGCATCAACCCGTTGATATATTATCACTAGCACAAAGTAATAGGTCTAGTATACTACTCTATTATTTGACATAAAGGAGTGATGCACATAACAAGCTCTGATATCACGTGTAAGCATAATTCAAAATTATACGTAAATATTAGAATACTAAATTCAATTATATTACGTATATGTTTGGATAGTTATGACTGATAAGCGAAAGTAATATCAATGTTGCAGAGATTAAATCTTCCATTTTATTTTTCTCTTACTGGTGACTTTTAATGAATAAATACCTTTACTTAGAAATAAATATATAGGGGACCTTAACCAAATATTATTAAAATTATAAAATCCTCCCCATTAAAAGTTTACTGAATTAAAAACTTATATAACCGCCAAACTAAATTAAGCCTATAAGATGTATAAAACCCACACATAAACAATCACTATAAATTACTTGGACTATCATAATATCGTATTAGAATTAAATTTATCAATCTATTTTATTAAATTATAAAATCACTAGTTAACATTTATTGGAAGATTATAACAATAGAAGCATATTTAGTATAATAAAGACTAAGATTTTTTTTTCGAGTAATTGAAATAATTCAAGGCTTTATTTGGTATTTTAGCTCATAATATATCATCGGTCATAATATTATTTTAAAGAATAAAAATTACTTTCTTTTTGGTTGTGAATTTACGGTGGTAATAATGGTTGGTAATATAGAATGTTGTTAGAGAACTTTTAAAATATTTATTCCACATGAGCGTGAGAAGTCCTTCGAAGTATTTTTTTAGTGGATCAAGTACTTCATATTGGAGTGTCTATAAATATAAAGTACCTACTTGGTATAGTGAGAAATAGTTTTAATTAAATAACTTGATTTTCAATTAAAAATTTTAAAAAAGTTGTATTTGTTGATTAAGTGAAATGTTGAGTCTGTCAACCAAGTAAAAGGTTACAGTTGTTCATCGCTGGAAACTTACATAAGTGAAAATTTGTGACAAACACAATTTTTTTTTGTTTGTCGTGAAAAGTTACATCTATTCACAAAAGGCGTTGTTTTATGAGAGGACATGTGAAAACCAAATGTATAAAGGACTTTTCAATCTAATATAGAAACATTTTCAATTTTCCACAAAATGTTTAAAGAGCTTTTTTTTTTTTTTTTTTTTAATCTTTGAGACACTATTGTCCATTAAGTAACTGGTCTACACACTTCAAAGCTCAGCCTAATTTTTATCATTATTTCTTGGTTTACGATATTTTCCAGCAATAACAGTATTATTTTATGCTGGCACTTAAAAAGTAGCTCTATTTATTTGTTTTGCATATTAGGCATTATTATCTCTAAACAATTAAATTATCTTTTTCTAGAGGAAACAACGAATTTGCAATCTAGTCCAGCAAAAACCAGAGCAATCATCACCATGGAAAACAAGGTATATTCTTCAGCTTCTATATATATACATATATATAATCAAGTTAATTTGATACTGATTCGTACCAAATGATCATATGACCTTTACCCTAAATTAAGTTTAATCTATTATCATTTTCTCTATTATTACTGCTATAAATTCATGACTATACCTCACAAAATGTCAAGTGAGTGTGCAACATCCCCTTATATGTGTTCTATAATTTAAAATGGCATCAGAACATGCGTTACTCTTATTTGTTATTCTTTCCTGTGATAGATTTGTTACGTTTACAATGCATTGTCTAGGAGTTTCATTGTCCCCTACGCTATAGATTTGTTATATCTATGGTTTTTTATCATGAAGGGGATAACAATAGAGAGTAATGCTTATTCTGATATCATGTTAAATTATAAAATAAGTATAAGGAAATGAGAAGTATATCAACTATAATAATTGTACTACAATTGATTAATCAAAATTTAGAGTTATGTAGAATCCATCAAAATATTATGTGAATCCTAAACTTATAGTAATGGACTTCTATATAATTTTTATTATGATTAGATAATTGAAGGATTATAATAAAAATAATGACAGATGAAATGCTACCAAAGAATTGATACGTGCATTTGTCACGGGTCGAGACTCAAGCTCCGAACCCGCGCGGCTCCGGGACCCGGGCATTCACCCTTCCGGCGTCCCGGATCAGCCTGATCGCCACGGTTCACACCCTTGTGAGGTATTGTCCGCTCTAGCTCCCCTGGCCTCACGGTTTTGTCCTACAAAAGACGCCTCACAAGGCGGAGGTGGTGTGAACCCTTTTATACCCCAGGGACCCTCCTATTATGTTCGATGTGGGATTTAGGATTCTTCCTTAGGTCCGTGACATTCTCCCGCACCCAACCTCGTGACGCCCTCGTCACGGAGGCTGGCCACCCTGCCTACCCCTCGAGGGCTTGGCGTGGATCGAACGGTTAGGGGCTCTGATACCACTTGTCATGAGTCGAGACTCAAGCTCCGAACCCGCGCGGCTCCGGGACCCGGGCATTCACCCTTCCAGCATCCCGGATCAGCCTGACCGTCACGGTTCACACCCTTGTGAGGTATTGTCCGCTCTGGCCCCCTGGCCTCACGGTTTTGTCCTACAAAAGGCGCCTCACAAGGAAGAGGTGGTGTGAACCCTTTTATACCCCAGGGACCCTCCTATTATGTTCGATGTGGGATTTAGGACTCTTCCTTAGGTCCGTGACATTCTCTCGCACCCAACCTCATGACGCCCTCGTCACGGAGGCTGGCCACCCTGCCTACCTCCCTCGAGGTGCTTGGCGTGGATCGAACGGTTTAGGGCTGGCTCTGATACCACTTGTCACGGGTCGAGACTCAAGCTCCGAACCTGCGCGGCTCCGAGACCCGGGCATTCACCCTTCCGGCGTCCTGGATCAGCCTGACCGCCACGGTTCACACCCTTGTGAGGTATTGTCCGCTCTGGCTCCTCTGGCCTCACGATTTTGTCCTACAAAAGGCGCCTCACAAGGCGGAGGTGGTGTGAACCCTTTTATACCCCAGGGACCCTCCTATTATGTTCGATGTGGGATTTAGGACTCTTCCTTAGGTCCGTGACACATTCACTTGACTAGGTGTAATTCTGACTTTAAAGCTATGATAATAGAGAAAATGTTAAGAGATACATGCACTTATAGGTGTGGACTCAAATGCTTGAATGTTTTATAAATAAGAGATACATGCACTTATTAATATAGAGCCAAATGCTAGAATGTTAATTGAACTTAGTTGTTACATTTCAAAAAGGTTAAATACTATTAGTAGCTAGCGATATTATAATTGTTATTTAATAGAACAAAATCATGTCTTCATATCTGATAGAATTTGCCAAATCCTTTAAAGTTGTTAGAAGCAGACAGAGAAACAGCTGTTTGTGCAACTGGTGCAACTCCTATTTCCTTCAAGCTTCCTGAAAGCGATGGCATTTCTGTCAGGAGAAGAAAGAAGCCGGTAAGGGATAAAATTAAGTTCATAGGTTGCTGTCCATTCAGACCATCAACGAAGTGTGATTAAGATATAAATGCATGCTATCATATTATCAATTTAGGACTTTTCCTTGGTATATTAAACTAAGTTTTAAGACGTGTAAAATCCCCTAATTTCAAGAGCCATTCACACGCTATAAACTAGAAACTAAGAACTCTACTCACTGCCTCTCTCTCTCTCTCTCTCTCTCTCTCATTTGTGCTTAATTTCATGGTTTTCTTGGGTGCTTTCCTATCAGTCAAAGCCCGTGCCTGAGTGGGTCGAAAGAAATTGGTTTGCTGTTTCTAGGCAGCGCATTAACGGGAGGATTGATAAGGTAATGATCCTTAAAAGACTTTCGAACATTTATATTTGTGAGTGGTAGGACAATCAAATTATTGAATCATTTAACATTTCTCTTCGAAGATATATGATTTTTTTTTTTTTTTTTTGTCTTTGGCAAAAGATGTATATATATATATATATGTATATCTCATTAATCAGTAATTAACAATAATATCTAATTATTATTGCAGTTCTACTACCATAAGAGGTTGGACTTTATATGCCGATCACTAGTTGAGGTAGAAAACTTTGAATTGTATGGGCTTCGCCCCAAACGTGCAAAGAAACAGAAGGATAAAGTAGTAGAAGACAACTTTCCGACAAAAGATCACAAAGAAAAAGTTGAAAAGTTTTTAAGAGACGCTTACAACAACTTAATGAATATGTGTAAACCAAATGCTTCATATGCACCAAATGGTATCTTTTTCTACATACTATTTACCTTTTAAGCATATTCAATCATGTTTTCCTGAATTCT